AAGTCAGCACCTACATTAAGAAAATTGGCTACAACCCTGACACAGTAGCATTTGTGCCAATTTCTGATTGGAATGGTGACAACATGTTGGAGCCAAGTGCTAATATGCCTTGGTTCAAGGGATGAAAAGTCACCCGTAAAGATGGCAGTGCCAGTGGAACCACATTGCTTGAAGCTTTAGATTGCATCCTGTCGCCAATTCGTCCAACTGAAAAGCCTTTGCGTCAGCCCCTCTAGGATGTCTACAAAATTGGTGGTATTGGTACTGTCCCTGTGGGCCAAGTGGAGACTGGTGTTCTCAAGCCTGGCATGGTGGTCACCTTTGCTCCAGTCAATGTCACAGCTGAAGTAAAGTCTGTTGAAATGCACCATGAACTCTGAGTGAAGCTCTTCCTGGAGACAATGTTGGGCTTCAAGGTCAAGAACGTGTCTGTCAAAGATGTTTGACGTGGCAATATTGGTGGTGACAGCAAAAAGGACCCACCAATGGAAGTAGCTGGTTTCCCTGCTCAGGTGATTATCCTGAACCATCCAGGCCAAATCAGTGCTGGCTATGCTCCTGTACTGGATTGTCACACAGCTCACATTGCTTGCAAGTTTGCCGAGTTGAAAGAAAAGATTGATCGCCTTTCTGATAAGAAGCTGGAAGATGGCCCTAAATTCTTGAAATCTGCTGATGCTGCCATCGTTGATATAGTTCTAGGAAAGCCCATGTGTGTTGAGAGCTTCTCTGACTATCCTCCTCTGGGTCGTTTTGCTGTTCGTGATATGAGGCAGACAGTTGCTGTGGGTGTCATCAAAGCAGTGGACAAGAAGTCTGTTGGAGCTGGCAAGGTCACCAAGTCTGCCCAGAAAGATCAGAAGGCTAAATGAATATTACCCCTAATACCTGCCACCCCAGTCTTAATCAGTGGTGGAAGAACGGTCTCAGAACTGTTTGTCTCAATTGGCCATTTAAGTTTAATAGTAAAAGACTGGTTAATGATAACAAAGCATTGTAAAACCTTCAGAAGGAAAGGAAAATGTTTTGTGGACCATTTTGTTTTTGTGTGTGTGGCAGTTTTAAGTTATTAGTTTTTAAAATCAGCATTTTTTATGGAAACAACTTGACCAAAAATCTGTCACAGAATTTTGAGACCCATTAAAACAATAAGTTTAATGAGAAACCTGTGTCTTCTTTGGTCAACATGAACTCATACAAATGTTAGGCAAGAGTTCCTCAACCTATTTGTGGTGTTGAGAATCTGTTAACTTTATAAGTATGATTAAGTTTTCTGGTTGGGAATTTAGTTAAGGGAAACTGGGAGGGATCTTCAAGTACTAAGTGAATATCTGGGAAGAGTGTATTGATTACAACACTTGGTCAGGGTAGAAAAATAACTATGTAATTTACTTTAGAGGACCAAATCCTGTAATATTAAAGGCTGTTACTTATGAAAAAAATGATTTAAATTTTAACTGATACATAGAGCCACAATATTGCATAGATTAATAGCATACCATGTGACACATGGCTGGCCTCAAACTTGCCATTCTCCTGCCTCAGCCTCCTAATGAGCTGGAATTACATCCAGGTATCACTGTACCCAGGCAGGTTGAAAATATCTATCTTCTCAAACATTTATCATTTCTTCATGCTGAAAATATACAAAATTCTTAATTCTAGCTTTTTGAGTTATATAGTAAACAACTGCTATCTATAGTTAGTTACCCAATGGTGCAATAAATAGCACACTAGAACTTCTTCCTATCTAACTGAAACAGTACTCATTGATCCACCTCCCTCCTTCCATACTGCCCTCAAATTCTCTTCAGCCTCTGGTAACCACCATTATATTCCCAATTTCTATCAACTTTTTTACATTTTATATAGGAGATCACATAGTGCTCTTCTTTCTGGGTCCAACTTACTTCACTTAACCTAGTTGTCTCCAATCTGTATTGTCACAAATGGCAGGATTTCCTTCTTTTTATGGCTGATTTTCTTTACCCATTTATTAGTTGATGGACATTCAGGTTGTTCCCATTTCATGGCTATTGTGAATAATGCTGCAATAAACACTGGAGTGTATTTATCTCATCAACATATGATTTCACTTCCTTTGGTTGCATATTGAGAAGTGATAGGTCTATTTTTAATTTATTTTTCCTTTATTCTCTTTGGTACTGGGGATTGAACTCAGGGACAGCTGACAACTGAGCCACATCCCGAGCCCTACTTTGTATTTATTTTTTTTAAGATACAGGCTCTCATTGAGTTGCTTAGTGACTCTCTTTTGCTGAGGCTGGTTTGAAGTTGCAATCCTCCTACCTCAGCTTCCAAGATGCTGGAATTATAGGCATGCATGAACACACCCAGCTCTATTTTTAATTTTTTTTTTTTAGTTGTAGTAGGACACAATAACTCTATTTATTTATTTTTTTAAAGGCTTATTTTTAAAAATATTTATTTTTTAGTTATAGTGAACACAATATCTTTATTTTATTTTTTATTTGGTGCTAAGGATCGAACCCAATGCCCCACGCATGGTAGGCAAGGGTTCTACCTCTGAGCCACAACCCCAGCCCCAACTTTATTTATTTTTAAGTGGTGCTGAGAATCAAACACAGTGCGCCTCGCACGTGCTAGTGAACGCTCTACTACTGAGAACAACCCCTGCCCCTCTATTTTTTATTTATTTACTTTTTAGTTGTAGGTAAACACAATATCTTTATTTTACATTTTTTTTTAATGTGGTGCTGAGTATCGAACCCAGTGCCTCATGCATGCTAGGCAAGTGCTCCTCCTCTGAGCGAAAACCCCTCTATTTTTTTAATATGTATTTTTTTAGTTGTAGATGAACCTTTATTTTATTTATTTATTTATTTTTATGTGGTGCAGATGATTGAACCCAGTGCCTCACACATGCTAGGCTAATGTTCTACCACTGAGCTACAGCCCCAGCCCCTCTATTTTTAATTTTTTAAGAAACTTCCATACCATTTCCCATCATGGTAGTATGAAATTACATTCTGCCAATAACATGCAAGAGTAATCTTTTCTCTAAATCCTTGCCAGCACTTGTTATCCTTAGTCTTTTTGATAGTAATCATTCTTACTGAAATGAGGTGATAACTTATTTATATGGATTTGATTTGCATTCTGATGATTGTTGAGGTTGAGCACTTTTTAATGTCTGTTGGTCATTTGTATGTCTTCTCTGGAGCAAATTCTACATAGATCTATTGCCCATTTTTATTTATTCATGTATTTTGCTTGGTCTTACCTTTGCTGTCAAGTTTCTGCAGCTCCTTATATATTCTGGATTTTCACTCCCTGTCAGATGTAGTGTAATCTGGGAAAAGAGACTCAAGCAATCTTGAAAATGTGCTCCAAGGTTTTACAAAGTGGCAGCTACATTTATAGCTTTATGGAAATCTATGAACATACACAACAACTGGTATAATGCTCAAAATAATTATATTCAGTGATAGAAGTGAAACAAACCAAAAAACCACATATTATATGATTCACTTAAGATTGTAGAAAATGTAAGTTAATTGCTAGTGATATAAAACAGTACATGATTGCCTTGGAATGAGGAAGGCAGGAGGGAGGGATCACAAAGGAACTGGAGCAATCTTGGGGGTGATGTTCTTTCACCTCTCCCCTACCATTCAATGCCCCACTTATGAGGATGGAACCCAGGGCCTCTGCATGCTGGGCAAGAGCTCTACCACTGGGCTACCTCCCCAGCCCACAGTTCTTTATGCTGATGGACATGACAATGTCACAGGTATATACTATGTCCAAACTATTCAACACGTACAAGTTAAATAGGTAGTTTATTGCATATCAATTTCATCTCTAAAAATCTTTTAAAAATGGAATAGATACAATATTTGTAAAGTATGTATAGAGTGTAACAATGCAAACAAACAGTCCCATCACTCAATTTTAAAAAGTAAATGGTACCGTTATTTTTTTTTAATTTCTATGTTCCATAATCACCCTAAATCCAGGCTTTCTTAATATTCTTAATATTGTTGCCTACAATCATTTTCTAAATCCTACAGGCTCCCAAGCATGAACATTCAGAAGACTGTTTTTATCTAAATTAGTAGAATAATGCAGTAGTCAAGCACAATTGGAAGACTTGACACTTGTCTTTCAAAATTTGGGCAGCCCAAAACTGTAACTTAACAATAATTCTGCTATTGAGTTAATTTATTAACATCTTAGAGCCTCAACCCAGAATATAAAATGGAGAATTCTTGTTGACTGACCAGGCAAGCATGGTTTCTCAAGTCCTTTTCAAAAATAGGGCTTAAAGATGGGGCATGCTGGTTCATACCTATAGTTCTTGCTAACCTGAAGGAGGAGGCAGGAGGAGGAAGTTGGAGGATAGCCTTGGCAAAATAGTGAGATCTGTATCCAAAAACAAAAACAAACCAACTAACAAAAAAACAAACAAACAAAAGAAAAACACTTAATTGGGTCACTGGGGAAAAAACAAACAATCAGAAAAAACAAAATCAAAACCTAAGCAAAACAAAAGAAGAGTTTTGGGGGTAGAGGGGAGGAGGGAAGGGGAATGGCAGTATTCTTTTGTTGTGCTTATACCAGGCTCCACCAACAGATTGTGTTTTCTTTTCTTTGTAAAGGACACTGGAGCACCAGTGTGGGGTGAAAGGACACTTGCAACACACTAGCAGGAGTCTCCAACCCAGAGAAGGGGAAGCAGGAATATATTTGGAACACAGGATTGTAATCAATTTTCCTTCTACAGAAAAGCTGGGAACATTCTCATTCTACTTCTCGAAAACAGCTATGAGTCAACTTCTGTGCACATTCAGCAAAAAGGGCCTCTAGGTCTTGCTTTGACTTGAGCTGCATTTTTCCAGAAAAGCCAGTTCCTCCTCTGCAGCTGATTGGCTCTGGACCATGGCCAGGAACCCGCCTCCTGTAATTAAAGGAGTCCAGTCTCCAACTGTTGCACTGCTTTCTCTTTCTCCTGAGAGATGGCGTTCACCGTCTTTATCCTCCAGCTGGCCGTCCGAATCCTGTCGCTTCCCATGTACTTGCTTAACTTTCTAGGCTTATGGGACTCGATATGCAAAAAATGGTTTGCCTACTTCTTGTCAAAGGCCTCTGTGTTGTACAACCAATACATGGCAGGCAAGAAGCAGGAGCTCTTCAGCAAACTGCAGGACTTTGCAGGCCCCTCCGGGAAGCTCTCCCTGCTAGAGGTGGGGTGCGGCACTGGGACTAACTTCAAGTTCTATCCCCCTGGATGCAGAGTGACCTGTGTTGATCCCAACCCCAACTTTGAGAAGTTCTTATTCAAGAGCATTGCAGAGAACAGACACCTGCAGTTTGAGCGCTTCTTGGTGGCTGCTGGGGAGAACATGCACCAGGTGGCTGACAGTTCTGTGGATGTGGTGGTCTGCACCACAGTGCTGTGCTCGGTGGCGAACCAGGAACAGGTGCTCCGTGAGGTGTGCAGAGTGCTGAGGCCGGTGAGTGATGGGGAGGAGAGAAGGACAAGTTGGTAGTATCCTAATCCCCAAGGGCAGCCCTATTAACTTCAGGTGGATTCTAATGTAATGAGTAAACTACTAGAGAAGACATGTTTGAATTCTTTAAATCTGAAAAACTATAAAGGGAAGAATTTATAAATCTAAATATGAAAAATAATTCTAAAACTACTACAGAGAAACAAGGTCCTATATAAAAATTTCAAATATAAACACAAACTGGAAAAAAGTATTTGCCAAGAGGATAGACAAAGGATTAATGTCCATTATGTTAAAAGTCAGTACTAATCAATAAAATCAGTATGCTTATTTAATTGTAGAAAGGAGAGAGAAATGAGCAATGAGCAGGAGCAGAAATATAAATTATAACAGCCAGTTACAGGATCAAAATGTTCAAATTAATTTAAAAAGCTTACTAAAGTGAGATATGATTTTTGGGGGCAGAGTACCAAGGATTGAACTCAGGGCCAATCACTGAGCCACATCCCCAGACCTACTTTGTATTTTATAGAGAGATAGGTCTCATTGAGTTGCATAGTGCCTCACTTTTGCTGAAGCTGGCTTTGAACTCGCAATCCTCCTTCCTCAGCCTCCCAAGCTGCTGGGATAACAGGTGTGTGCCACTGGCCCAGCTTAAATATCATTTTTTAAAAATATGTTTTTACTTGTAGATGCACACAATACCTTTATTTTATGTATTTATTTTTATGTGGTGCTGAGAATTAAACCCAGTGCCTCACACGTTAGGCAAGTGCTCTACCACTGAGCTATAGCCCCTAACATGTCATTTTTACCTGTTATGAGACAAGGATTTTTATACTCATTTGGGTGTAGTGTTGCTTTGGGTTTGGGGAATTAGACCGTCTTTCATGCTGCTGGAAGATCTTCAATAGGATCATTTAATAACATGAAAGTATACATACTCAGTTATCCAACAGGAACTTAACCTAACCCACAAATTTGCAAATCCTTATCTATATGCAAGGATATCCATTATAGTAGTATTTATGATAACAGCAAGTATACACTGAAAGGAGGCTGTTTAAGCAAATTATCACACAGTGTAAAAGAATACTGAGCAGCTATTTAAAAGTACAAGAAGAGAAGTCTAAGCTAATTATGAAGAAAAAATCCTGAGAACCACTATTAAATGAGAAAAAGCAATCAAAACACAGAATGTAAAGCCAAAATCCCACTGTATCAAAGAATATATACATATGTAAATGAATGAAGAAAGATATTGTGTCCATCTATCAATGAAAAAATATTTTTAAAGTTTTAAAAAATAGTGGGATTATTATGCCATATTTGTACATGTACATAATTGATCAATCTCACTGCCCTGCACCTCCCCTTATTCTCTACCCCCACTCCCCAATCCACTTGCTCTGCTCTATTGATTCCCCTTTTATTTTGTTATTATTTTAACTAGTGCATTGGGTATATATAAAACCTATACTCATTGTACACACAAAACCTTAACAGTATTTTTCTCTAGTTAGTGAAATGGTGAAAGATTGATTTTCTTCTTAAACCATTTTTTTTTTTAATGTCCTGGGGGTTGAACCAAGGTCTACATTCATTCTAGGCAACTACACCCACAGCCCCTCTGCCCTGCCACTACAATCTTTATTTTTCTTTTTCGATTTTATTTTATTTTCTCTCTAACTGGCTCAGGGTAGCCTTGAACTTGTGATCTTCCTTCCCTGGTCACCCAAGCAGCTGGGATTGTATGCTCAATCAACAACTTTTCTGTATTTTCTAAACATCCTAGAATGAACATGTTGCTGAGGCAATACTGCCAGCTTCTAAAGCCAGACTGCATGGGATCAGAGTCTGATTCTCAAAATTACAAGCTGTGTCACTTTGGGCAAGGTACTTTTATTTAGTTAGTTAGTTGTGATGTGCAGTCCGTGTTTTACGTTTTGGCCTTCAGGCATTCCTTTTACAACCAGAAAACCCATGTTACATGCTTTCGATTGGCAGCTCTGTGAAATAATTGACAGAAGAAGAAACTGCTGCCCAAAATAGTGTCTTACTAAGTTTTAATTTGGCCATGACATTTTATGAAGATGGCTACTAAGGCCATGAAATCTGAAACTTCAGTCATATTATATGTTTGTTTTTCCTAAACCAAAAATTTTTAAATTATTATTTTTTCCTTTCCCAGGGAGGGGCTTTCTTTTTCATAGAACATGTGGCAGATAAGCGTTCAACCTGGAATTACTGTTGGCAACAGGTCGTGGAGCCTGCTTGGTACCTTGTGTTTGATGGATGCAACCTGACCAGAGAGAGCTGGAAGGCCCTGGAGCGCGCCAGCTTCTCTAAGCTGAAGCTGCAGCACATACAGGCCCCGCTGCCCTGTGTGTTGGTGCGCCCTCATATCTGTGGGTATGCTGTGAAATAGCATGGGTGGCAGTAGAGCTGAATGACTTGAACAATTTAAGACTTCAGTTTTTCATTTAAAATACTAATTGAGAAAAGGGACACTTAATGTTATGTAAAGTTGAATTCATCCTTAAAAGTTTCTATTATATCTTATTTGGACATTTTTGATTGTTTCCCCAAAGAATCAAACCCACCAAAATAAAAAACAACTTGGAACTCTCCCTTCAAAAGAAACAGGGGGGCTTTCATAATTGAAGCCAATGATGTCCAAACCTTACTTTCTTCAGGGATTTAGAAATCTTTCCAGTTGTCTTCTTTAAATTGTTATCCACATATTTTCATTTCACCCCTCTTGGGAGAGATGGTGCTAAGAAGCAGTTAAATCACTTCAAAACACGACTTCCAACAGGGAACAGTGAAAAGACATTAGCAATTCAAAAACTGAACAAAGAAATATGAGCTAACTGAAAATGGAGGTACAAACAACACAGATATTCTGTAAAACAAAGAAGAACCTATTTGTTATTCTTGATATCACTGGTTTGCCTTTCCGGGTTAAAGTACCAGGCTGCCACATGTCGTTCTGTCCAGCTTTCTGTCTTTTATACCAGTGTTCCACCAAAGGTTGTTTTCCTGCATTCCAGTCCTCACTTCTTAAGATACTTCACACATTAGTATAAACATAAAGCTAGATGAGGCAGTTTGGGTTCTGGGGCTCATTGTCCTTGTAATCCAGCACATATTTTGCTGAATATAGATGATTACATGCAAGGAAAGAAACTACAAATAGGAAAACTTGCAGAATTAGTAGATTCCATAAGACCCCTAAAAATCAAGCAACCCTTGAGTCTGTAAATAAGTAGGCAAGCATTTCTTTGATTATTTTGATCAAAATCTACTCCATCCAAGATGATTTCTTTGTTCTCTGCACTTATAGGAGCCATGAAAATGATCACAAGTGCTTTGAAAACAAGCGTTAGGTTGGTTAGTCAGAGGATTTCATAGGATGTTCAGCAACAGTTTGCATGTATTTTAACAAATTTGTGTTTTCTGAAATGATTTTGCAAAAGTACTATTTTAAATACCAAATCAACCAATAAATTCACATTGATTTTAAAAATAATAATAAAAGAGAGTTGATCTCTTTGACAACTTGGTTTCATTTTTCTTCATGTCTCTAAGAGGTTCATTGTCGCAAACTAAGTACTTGAATTTCTGGACTTTTCTTTCTACGGCTGGGTAAGTGGAAACACGGCTAGTGGATCTGAGGAATAGCAATCTTGGAAGGATCAGAGTGGGCTTTGAAAGGGTTGTGTCCAGAGAAAGATCCTATTAGTGAAATGCACTGTTCTGCCTCTTGAACAGGAAAAGGATTCCTGGTGCAAGTGAGGTGGGATGTTTACCTAAAGCTCTGCAACCTGAATCTCCTTCCTCTGCAGTCTCCCAAAAGTAGGAGCCTTCTTTATCTACCCACCTCACTATTGCTTAAGTTGGTCTAGTGACTGAGAGAGATGAAAAGACCCAGGTGTACTTGGTGATACGTTGTCCCACTGGGAGATAATACCCAAGTACTAGTCACTTTCTTATTAAATCCCTCTTGTCTAAGAAGTATGGCAAATAACATCCTCACTTTTGATGAAAAATATTAAGGGGGTCTGGGGTTGTGGCTCAGTGGTAGAGTACTCTCCTAGCACGTGTGAGGCACCTGGTTTGATCCTCAACACCACATATAGAAAAAAATAAAATTTCTTACATTATTCCACGTTACTTGGCAAGTTTAGAAGCTCTGATTCCCCAAACCACCAAATCTGCTGTGACAATCATTGCTGCCATGTCATTTTCTAATGGCTTCCCTTCTCCAAACCGGACAACAAATACTTAACATCTCTAAAGGTCTCAGGAAGGGATTTAAAACTGCGTTTTTAAAAAAGAGAGAGAAAGAAAGAAAGAAAAGGCAAAGGCACCACATATTCAATTCTTTCAAGCCCTGTGTTGGTTAGGATCCCATTGATTCCAAGTGTCAGAACTCATGACCCAGACAGGCTTAAGCTAAAAAGGACTTTAGTGCCTCAAATTAGTGAAAAGCACAGGGGCGGCACGCCCCAGGCACGGGTTGCTCAGGGCTCAAGTAATGCTATCAGAAGCCAGATAGACTTTAGGATCAAGTCTACACTCTTTTTCTGTTTGTCTATTGAGACAAAATAAAAAAGCTTGATCTTCCCTAAAAGAGTCTTCTCGGCTTTTTGTGCATCTACTTTTTATATATAGATTATTATTATTATTTTTTTATGGATAGCCAAAGCCACCTGCAGCTAGTAGACGTGGGTGTAAAAACTGTGGCTGCTTGGCTGACCACAGACAGTCACTGTGCCTCTCTCCCAATCTTGAGTCAACAGGTTGTAGCTACTGCTGCTCTGGGATGCAGCCACACAGCAGAACCAGGTCAGTGGGACAAGCAGAAGGCAGGACAGGTAATGGAGTTGGTACCACAACACATGTAATGTCAGCATTGGTCTCTGCCACCCAGAAATGGTCAAGGGAGATGGTGTCAGATCCTGGTATCTCTCCACTGCTTCTGAAATCCCATGGGCAACCACAGCAGCCATCATGATGGCCATGAGAGACCTTTGCTCTGGCTACAGCACCTCCATATGACTCCACTTAGCAGCCTCTCTGGATGGCTCCACCCACCCTGAAGCTGCTTCAGGTGTTCCAGTCTGTGAAGAGCACCTTCCCACCTGTGACAGCCAGCACAGGAGGCAACAGTACACTCGGCACAGACTGGCATCTCTATGCAAAAACTCTGTGGTTAGCAGGAAAGAGACTGTACACATGTTTGGGCCCATGCATATGAGCAACACTCCCCTCACCCTCACTGCATCAGTCTGGGCAAGTCTCCTTCCCATTTACTTCTCTCCATTTTGATGCAGCATGTGTTCCTAACACAGCCTCTTTCAGATGGTTTTATTTTGTCTATTCATTTCTTTTTTTAAGAAA